GCCTAAAAACAGTATGCTTCTCAAGATTCTCCCATCTAAGTGCTTTTCAGTATGTGCAAAAGCACGTGATCACGATGTTGCAACAATGTTGCTTTATAAGATCCACATCAGCAAGAGTGATCCAAACAGGATATATTGTGCTACCCTTCCTAGGTGTCGGTAGCCGTTGTCCATCCCCATTTACAAGAATTAGCATCATGATGCTTGTGTATCCTCCTTTACCAATATGTACTGAATGATTTTGCGGTCCTTGATGACACTAAACATATAAAGAGGTTGACATTTTGTGATAAATATTGTCAAGGTTTATATCTTCTTCGGGTGGATCTCAATCCTTCCATGTGGAAAGTATGGATTCGTGGTGCCCGACTCTCCTTTTTTTTTTTGGTCTGTGGGTAAATATTTCAACCTCTGATGTGTTGGTTGCTGGAGTAAAGGTGGATTTGATTTGCCGACTAAACAATCAACGCGTTTTAGAATGATTTGAATGAAACATTCAATGTATTTGAGAAATTTTGGAAGCGATCCACGTGTCCTTTTGGGAGGATCTATTGGAGTCTCGATGGTGGATCTATGAAACGTAACTCTTGCAAATGATTTGCTTTCTTGAAATGATCGACTAATGACGTCTGATTTACCTCAACCAGGCTTTGCCATTCAACTCATTGTTTGCCAAAAAGCCCCACTAGTAAGTGTAGAATGCCTTCTCACCATCTTTGAAGTTGGTGAATCATTAGCTTTAAGAAAAAGAGAGCCTCTCTCTCTCTCTCTCTCTCTCTCTCTCTCTCTCTCTCTCTCTCTCTCTCTCATATGTGCTCGAGTATTTACACATTTATAAGGCCGCAGCTAATACCTGTTGCCTTTTAGGGATTCCCCACACGTAGTGGCAGAATCCCTTCCTCTGCTCTCCAATTGCCCTTAAGGGGTTTCAGCATATTGACTGTCCTTTGGACATTCCGAACGCCCCGACTTCTAATTCCGCATAAAAAATCATGACATTGGAGAATCATTGGAGTCATCAAACACCTATCACTCGGGGGCAAGGGGGGGGGCCGAAACACCAAAAGCGACTTGAAAGTGAAGCAAAGAGAGGAGCAGTTCTCAGACAGGATTAGGTTTTTGAAGGGCAAAGGCAGAACTATGAATAAAGATGGAACAAAGCAGACATTCTATAGCTTTTGTTTTGGAGAGGACTCTACTCCTATTCCTTTGTAGTGGGGATACAACTAGGATTAGCAATTATATGCGGTAAAGGAAGACTTCAAGCCCAGAAATGAAAAGAAACCTTTCAATTATTTGCTCATAAATTATGAGAAAGAACCCTTTCTCTGGTGCAGCCAAGCACAAGTCTCCATTAGCTGCTTTTGAAGCAGATGCTGCAGTCTGATCGCTCGAAGTTAAAATCCAGGCATCCGGTTTCGCTCCACTGAAACAGGTTTCAATGTTTGACAAGCAAATCCCTAAAAAATCTACGCAGCTTAAGTAGAAGTATGATATTGCAAATGAATTTCAGAGAGAATTAAAAGCCGGTAGCTTTGGAAAAACTCTCATCAGAACTATCTCGAAGTGGCGAAACCGCCGGTACTTCAATTGCTTCACATGACATGATCAATTCCTTTGTAACTACTAAACCAAATCACATCTTCTCTAACATCTCCTTTGTCTAATGTATATGCCCGTGCTCTCGTCTCACGTAAGGAGCCCACCTGAAAGAAGAAAATCTGCAAAAACGACAGCATATAAACCTCAAAGTACCAATTAGCCAGTCTGATGCGTGAGTGCTGCTAAAAGGTCTGAGCTGACGGCCAGAGATGGTTGTTCTCTTTTACATTTCAAGCACTACAAAATTCTCTCCTTTCACGATCCTTTTTCGGCTCAACATGATAGGTTACCACCAGCACATGGGATATACTACTAAACTAATCCTGTTCCAAAATACAATCATTGTTCTCACTCGTGCACTTGATCAGTTAATGATTTTCCGGTAATTATTGTTGGACAACATGGCCCAGATATCTTCAGGGCTTGGAATTTTCGATGTACGAGCAGCAACTCTTTTTCTTGGATAGATTTTATTTCATTATTTTAACCCCGACATCGTCTCTTCTTTTCTTTCTTTTAGTCTTCAGAAGAGTTGTTTCTGGGGTATCTTTCACGCAGGCCTAAGGAATCATCAACACATAAGCATTTCCCATAGGGCTACGAAGTATTTTATATTGTTTGTCCCCCTTATTGTGCTGGTCAAAAGTGTTCCTCTGGAATTGTTGTTCGATTGTGCAAGTGGGAATCATGGTAATCATTCTTATTTTATTAATCGATGAGCAGCCCATTATGTTTAATGTTGTCTCAAAAGTTGTCCCACCAGGTAAGTGATCATAGAGGAAAAAAAACAGATGAAGGGCTGTCTTAGACAAGATTCAGTGAACCGTACTTCAAGTTCGAGGTTTTGTAGTTGATGGTATGCTGAATGACCTTTTTTAGATCAATTTTTTTTCTAGAGCTAAGGTGTTACGCTTGGTAATTGCGCATGTTAAAAGATACTTTTCAGTGGTGAAGTTGTATTAGTATGAGTTGCAAAAGTGTCTGCAAATCGCTTGTTTAAGATCAACTTGCAACTGTTTCAGCTTCCCTTGACTTTTCGTCAAATTTTTCTTTTGTAACTTCAATCTTGAATTCTTCTTTCGTCATAAGCTAGTACTCGTGCATGTAATTTGTAAATGCCAGAAGAGACACTGAATTTTCTTTTGTTCATGAGGAAGCTACCAAGGGCACGCGAGAAAAACTAGTGGTTTTGTTTCCCATTTTTGGGTTGAGAGAGAGAGAAGAGCATTAACGCTTCCACTAAGAGAAGGTTAATTGTACAGCCTCCTCTTCTGGTATTTTGACAATTGCAGCTGCTCGGGATTTAGTTCGAAATAAAGCAACTAAAGTGGATTGGCATAGGTTAATACGGTTTGCTCCGAATGGTCCTAGATTTGCTTTGATCTTTTGGAAGCAGACTTCTCATTCTTCATTGTTTGCTCTCAATCAATGCAATGAATCTGGAGCTCCCCTTTTCTAAGGTTGCAGTCTCTCTCTGCCCAATTAAGGAAAAAAGATTGAGCTTATTCTCTATTGATAGATCCCCTGCAGATTGGGCTTGTGAGATTCAATGGTTGAAGCAGCATGCCAAAGGTGTCAATTTTCAATCTATTTTACCTAGATTGGCTTGGAATAGCAGCATCTGTTCCGTTAGGAAAGCCAGGAATGAGGCTCTCCATAGTCAAAGTTCATCCAATGTGGATCGAACTTTGAAGATGATTAAGTTCGCTGCAAAACATAGCACTGAAGGCCCTGATGCTCTAAAGCAAAAAAAGTCAACTCCCCAGCACTTGCCCGGCTCTGTTTAAGATGGCATGTAGTTTTCAGAAGTTTGTCCTTAGCAGGTGTTGTGCTTCTTGTTGCTGTGCTGGTTCATGTATGGCCTTTTTGTGGACTTTTGGGGTCGCATTTCTTGTTTATGCAGTTGCCATCTTGTAGCTTTCCATGACTTTTGAGACTTGCATTGGTTGTTGATCTTTGGTTTGACATAAAAAGCTGAACTTACCCACAGTGTCTCTGTACAATGTCACATGGCCAAGTCAATTTACGAGCGAAGTTATTGGCCCAATTTAAGCTCCGCAGAGGACAAATCGTGCCGCCCACACCCCACTGAAGTCCACCAGCTCTTCGGCTTAGCCAAATTTTTTAATAGACAACTGTAATTTTCTTTGGCCATTACTAAATAACTAATCAAAAGAAATCAAGTTCCGCTCCAAGCTTTTAACCACTGTAGGTTAGCACGTGGATTTGACAACACTAAAAGGTAGAGTAAGGAATGGCATATTGTAAACTTTACCAGTCTTGGAAATTCCTTTGACTCGCAGGACCCACTTGCAATATTTTGAGAGGTCAAAGGACAAAATCCCAACTTTTTTGGGTCTTTTCAACCGCTTCATGTCCAGATTGGGAATGGAATATTAGTTTTTTATAGGTCACTAATATAGGTGATACCAAGTACAAGCAAAATAATTCGCTTAGCCACTGTTCATGAAGAATCGTCTCATTATTAATGCAAAGAACCCGAGCAGACTAATTGTTTTTTTTCAAATGAAAAAAGATTTAGACGAGATTGAGATCTACCTCACCCATTGCTGAATGTTGAGCCAACAAAGTATAAATTACTCGTCAAGCAAATCCGTCACCGATTTCCCACAAGATGCGAGTGAGAAAGCCAATTAGGCCATCTACTTAGTGCAGCCGAAGCATCAATTGTTTAGCACAGTCGAAGTACTGAGGTTCATCTTTCGGCTGCTTTGGTTTTTCTCTCAAGACAATGGATTGTTGCACTGAGGCAGAGAAGAGCAAGTGTAACTTCCCTACTGTCTTTTTTTTATGTATTTACTTTCATTTTTCTCTTTCACCTTTTTCCTTTTCTGTTATCTGCACATAACTCATAGTGGAAGAGACCTTTTATTTAGGAAAACCTCACAAAATCAAGGATGTAAATAAGTCTGCTGAAATTTGTATCCAAGCAAACTATTCTCATCTGCACATCCAAGAGCCATAAGAAGTTTATTCAAGATATGCAAAAGACATCAAGGTGTGAACATCTCTAAACATCAGCAATTCAAAGCAACGAGGGTGTGTGTTCTTGCTTCAACCAAACATTCGCAAATATCAGTAATCTAGTGAAACCATTTTCATACCATGTTAAGCTATTGCCAGCATAGTGAATACAGAACTGATTAATTAGAGAAGAAGTGCCCATGTCATCTTTTTATGCTTAGCATAAGTTTTCTCTCTGTGAAATGTGAATAGTCCGGTCAAGTCATGTTACTAGATCATGCTATGCTGGCAGTATTACTTCAAGCTGATGAGTGCCAAAGAAGAATCTACACTCCCCAAAAAGTGGTCAAAACAAGGATCAAGAGCAATAAGATTAAATTAGATTAAAGCATTAGTTGAGGAGATCTTGCCCAAGGTCAAAGATTTGGGAATAAGATAGAAATACACTACCGGACACTGATTATTCATCACAGCATTTGGGATTATTAAATTACACATATACAAACACAACAGCACCAGAAACAAGAACCCTAATAATTCCTAACTTCCTAGTGCCTACAATTCACCCTTTTTTTTAGCTTCTTTTTTCTTTTCCCTGAAAAATCCCTTTTTGGATTTCTCTTTGACGGTCCCATTTTCTTGAAAAAACAAAGAAAAGAGAGAAAAAATTATGGGGCCAATATGTACGACGAAATCTCCATCTGCAATTAGCTTCTTCATCTGTCATCAACAGCCGTAGTACTGGAACTGGGTTTGACCGTAACTTGCCATGAATGGTCCTCCTCTGGCTGCTCCGTATTCTTCTTCCCCACCATGAAACGCGAACTTGCAAATTCGAAGAAGTACGGAGTAAAAATGAATGAATCCGGTAATGCAAGGGTCAAAAGAACGGCGGCTGTTGGATTGAAATTGCAGAGAGAGAGAAGAAAAGTCAAAAAGATTTTACCCAGAGCTCGTCGTCCTCGTCGTGTTCGTCTCTGGCGAAGCCTGAAACCTTGGGAGTCTCGCCAGCTTCGTCGTTGCGCGCGAACCTGCCACGTATCCGCGGTCGACTGTCCGCTAGAGTTTTGCGACATGCATACTTGTCGTTTCGACACCAACAAACACACCCTCGTCATCAGTCACGACTCACAACACCAACCCACGTATTCTTGATCTTTGTCTCTCTCTCTCCCTCTCTTTTCAATATCGAGAAAGAAGCTAAATTGACTACGTTTTCTGTATCAAAAACGAATCTTTTTTACCTTGATTGTTTTGTTGAAGTTCCTCTGCGTTCGCTTTGCCCTGTACTTCTGAATCCTGTCCCTCCTTTCCTCTGCACTGTATCGCCCCACTCTGCAGGAGCTCGCTTCTTCCATGAACGGGCTCGTTGAATTGGACGTTGCTTTCATTCTCTGAGAATTACAACGAAAAGGAAAAGGCAGAAATCAATACCCGAGGATTAGATTCTATCTTGACCCCAAAAAAAATCACAGTAACAGAGCATTCGACAGTTTTGGTTTAATAACAAAGAACCTGCAAATCTCCTGTGCTATAGACCCTCCTCATCATCTGTCCGCTGAAGAAACAGCTCTCTGGCGAACTTATGTTCGGAAGATCAACGCGCGGTGGAGGTTGAAGGAGGTGAGGCCTCGTTCCATTGAAGAAGTTGGTGCTGTAGCTCCTCTGCATATACTTGCCTACATTATCCTCACACCCGCTGTAACTGTGAGGAACAAACTCGAAGGCCTCGCTATCGTAGCTAGCGCGACCGTGACATTCACGATCAGCTTTGATTTCTTGAGTTGATCCTGAGAATCCGTTTGAGTAATCCGGAGCATGCTTCGACAGTTGCTGCAACTGGGTCCCTCGACGAAGGCTCAAATGTTCAAGCTCTTGGCTTGGAGGCGAAGCAGAGAAGATGGCAGCGGCAGGGTTGCACATGTGAGGGGATTTCGGAACAGGGTCTTGGTTCTCTGAGGCGCTGCTTGAGATTTCATGGAAGATGTCAATGTAGGAGTCGTTGAAAGGAGAGAGAGGGTCAGGGACGAACTGGAGTAGGTCTGGGTCGTAGGCATGGAGGTAATCAGAGGACATTTTGAATTGAAACTCGGGACTTTCCTCTGCCTCGTGGGGGTGGGTGGCGAGAGCTCGGAGGAGAAATTGGCTTGGGAAATGGGAAGAAAGTGGAGGAGAGAAAGGAACGACGGGAGTGCTGGTCGTGTTCTTACTTTGAATTTATTCAATTTTTTTTGAATACGTGGGTTCGTTGGCTGGTGTGCCGTGGCCATAAAGCGCAAAGTGTGACAGTTGTTCCTCTGTTCCTTTGTATTATTTAGGGACAAGTGCATTCAAAGTTCACTAAAAAAAAAACATGTTCTTTGCGACGAAAAAATCGCAAAAATCCATCGCAAATCGATTTTGAGACGGAAAAAATTCCGTTGCTACTAGGTCGTCGCAAATAATTCGTGGCAAAATTCGTCGCAAAATTCGTGGCAAATTTCGTCGCAAAATCCGTCGCAAAATGTATTGGACGGAAATTAGGCACGAACTTGATTCGTCGCAAATTAGCCACGAACTGTAATGGTCGCAAAATTCGTATGTAAATATTCGTCGCAAATTTTACAGCATTTCGGCCATCAAATCTTATCCATATCAATTGCTACGCATTATTGAACATCATGTAATACATTGAAAACAGTCAAAGGACACGAGAAAACCGTAGATTCCGCTTCAGAAACAGAAAACGAACAAACCAGATACAAAGACATATAATTGAAAAATGTAACTGAAGGAAAGATGCTAGTCCGCAAAAAATAATGATATATGTCAAGTTACAAAGCCTGACATGATGATATTTGATATTCAATCTTATAATACATTCAAAACATTCATAGGAAGCGGGACAACCATAGAGATGCTTAGAAAACGAAAAATCGACAAACCAGACACAAGATTGGGCAGCTGTGGTACTCGGCAGGACACCAAAAGCAGTCACTTTTATGGACACCTGATGAAATGTGGATACATAAATAAAGATATTCAGTTAGTACAGAATATAAAAGAAGTGCTTATGTATGGATGTGGAACTAGGTATAAAAAAACAAGTAAAAGGGTTAACAAAAAAACGTTTCAGGACGAACATCAATGTTCTTACATATGAGTATGAGTCAACTTTAACATCCACTGTAGTTTTTTCACCATTGTAAACCGTATTTCTGTCACATAGGAAAAATTAGATCCTTGAACCTAGTTGTGAGAAAGTTGTGCACACAAAGTAATTGTAGGGCAGGAACAAATTGGGTGAAACTGCACTTATGTCATAAAAGAGTGTGAAGCAAGCTTACCCCCGATTTTGGCAATTTCAACTAGAAAGGACCGAGAAAATCATCAGCATCATCATCAATGTCAGCATCATTGTGTCGCTCATCATTGTGCTCATCACCTATTGGATTGGCAGGAGGTACAAGAGGAACCTGACCGCGATTGATGTTGAGGTGTTGCATAACGATTTGCATTTGCTGTTTCAAGTCATTTATTTCTTCGTCCCTCTCTACAATTATATTTTTCAGGTGGTTCACTTCTTGGGTCAATTGCTCGTCATGTCGTGTCCTCCTTCGACCAGTCGCATTGGATGATGAAGTTCCAGCTTGATTCGGCATGAACATCCTTGACAAGGATCCCATCCCAAATATTTTTCCTTTTTTCACCCCACCCGTTGCCTCCACCCATAATGCCATACTGTCAGCTGATGGCTCAGACGCACTTGCAGAACCATCACTACCACTAGCATTGCCCATTAAAAGTTCATCATATTTTTCCTACATTAACAATATAGATGAAAATAAAATAACTTCATATATATCTCTACCATAAATATTAAAAGCATTCACGGTTTTCATTCTAGTTTCCATAAAGCCCAAAGTATAACCTTATATACCTTAACAGCTTTTGCTTGATCGCCAATCCATGTCTTATCTTTCTTTTGAAATGTGCGTTCAAATGTAGCTGCAAATGTCGGTTCTGTCCCTAATTCTTATGCCTACAAAATGTAAACATGAGTAATTGAATTAAATTAACTTATAACTTATTTAACAGACTTACCAGTCATTTGCGATGCTCCCCAATGTTGATACAGCCCCCAGCATATGTGGCAGACCGTTCACTAGAACTAGAAGATCGATTCTTTTTATTCTGCTCACTAATTTGCTGACTCTTCTCAGTTTCCCAAATTCTGTTAATTTCCGCCCAATTGTCAGCTGTAATGAAAGCCGGCTTCACTCTCTTGCTCTTCGCTCTATTCATCACATTTCGTATGTGATCACTGACTTTCTTCTGAAAAATTCTTCTCACTTCATTCTCGAGCTGGTCAACCCACCTGAACTTCCGCTGTAATCAATACAAGCAAAACTGAAAGTTATTATGATGGTCACATATCCATTACCATGCACCAGACAATTCGGCGATAGACTTTGTTAAGTTCATCTCGGGGAAAATATTCTTTCCCCTTTAGTACAGAAAACTAAAGAGCTGTTCTGGTCCCTTTATATCATTCTTGACCATCAATATACTACACCGAACTTAGTTGGTAAGAAAATAGAATATCTAAAACTTACCTTGAACTCATTCCACCACAAATCTTTCACCTCTTGTGGAACACTTCTGTAATTAACATACTCCCCCATCCAATAGTGTTTGATTATTTTATTCAGTTCCCTCACAACAAATGTAGCATCCGTGAATCTGCAAACATACGGATATTGTGCAATATCGACAATTCAATTGACATCCATATCGAAAGCCATAAATATTACATATACTAAAAAAAAAAAATTAAAGTACTTACGAATCTCCAAATGGGCATATCAGGATTCGATTATCTTCTTGACCTTCGTTTCCGTCATTATGCGAATGTTGCGCTGAATAATAAGGTGGAACGGAAGGAGAGGGAGCCAAAGGTGATTGAATTGGAGGAGATTGAGTTGGCATGTGACCAAGTCCCATAACATGTTCTTGAGCATTGGAGGAAGGACCAACGTGTCCATATTGTCCATCAGCATATCGTGGTTGCGGGTTAGATGAAAGGACAGGAGACGAGGAAAGGGCGGGGGACGAGGACGTTGAAGAGGCTGGTCTTCTATGCACGTGACCTCCACGTTTAAACTGACAAGTAGAAAGGTTAGACAAATATGTAAAAAAATATGAACACGTATTACGGAGACATAATGACGTACATGATGAAGCTTACCATTTTGATAGGCTGCAGAAAATGTTCCCTCTTAATTAGCCAATGCCGAGTGTTTATGACGTGCAATTTCCTACGAACAAATATAGTATGAATCGCACTCATTTTGATATCAAACATCAATATATGAGCACGATATGCCATGTTAAGCCGACATTAGCCATAATTAACCACACGATCCACTTTCAAACCACACGATAATTCATCAAGTACAAGAACAACCATGAAATATCAATTTCAGCCACATGATCTTCGTTCTCGGCCACACGATTATCAATCAAAGTGGCTGGCCACAGCCATTATAAGCCTTTAATTTTTTGGGCATCTAAAAAAATTTAAATTTCACTCAAAGTGGGTGACCACAGGTATTCTAAGCCATTATGTAAAGTTTTGAAATTTTGTGGCTTTTATTATTTTTTAATTTTTTTGGGCATCTAAAAAAATGTAAATTTCACTAAAAGTGGGTGGCCACATGTATTATAAGCCATTCTGTGAAGTTTTCAAATTTTTGATTTTTTATATTTTTTTTGGGCACCTACAAAAATTTAAATTTCACTCAAAGTGGCTGGCCACAAGTATTTTAAGCCATTCTGTGAAGTTTTATAATAAAATAAATTTTATTATTTTTGTAATTTTTTGGGCACCTAAAAAAATTTAAATGTCACTAAAAGTGGGTGGCCACAGGTATTCTACGCTATTCTGTAAAGTTTTGAAATTTTTTTTTTTGTAATTTTTAATTTTTGTGGCCACGTAAAAAAATTTAAATTTAACTCAAAGTGGGTGGCCACATGTATTATAAACAATTCTGAGAAGTTTTCAAATTTTTTACATATTTAATTTTTTTTTGGCCACCTAACAAAATTATTTTTCACTCAAAGTCGATGGCCACATGTATTCTAAGTCATTCTGTGAAGTTTTGAAATTTTTTATTTTATTATTATTTTTACATTTTTCGTGCACCTAAAAAATTTACAATTTCTCTCAAAATGGTTGGTCACAAGTATTTTAAGCCATTTTATAATATTTTGAAAATTTTGAATTTTTTATTATTATTCTTTTTTCGGGCACCTAAAAAAAATTAAATTTCCACTTAAAGTGGGTGGCTACAGTTATTTTTTTTCCATTTTGTGATATTTTGAAATTTTAGTTTTTTTAATTTAAAAAAACATTCACCAAATTTAATATTTTCCAAAAATATGACTTTTTAAAATTTTCACGAAATTTTTCGGAATTTTTCTAGAATTGTTCAATTTTAATGCATTTTCTGAATAAACGCTTAATCAATCACCCGATGATCATTAAACGGTTAATCGGCGATATAATGAACAAATTAACCAGTCGAACATCGATCAAAGCCACATGTAATCCTCAAATCGACTCCTAACTTAGCCAACCAATTAGACACTAAACAATCCCTAAACAAGTCCGATTAATACTCATTATAATAGATAGCATTTAGAGAGTTGCTTACTTGGTTCAAGGCCAAGAAAAACCCAACAATAATTAGATTTTGTGACGGTTAATAGTGGCGGGCTCGGCACGGGCGGCAGCAGCGGCTGGGTGGCGGTGGTGGCGGCGGCAGGCGGTGGCGAGGCTGGACGGCGAGCCGGGTGGCAGCGGACTTAGCGGATGGCGGTGGCGGTGGCGGCGGCGAGCCGGGTGGTGGCGACGGCGGCGACTGCTTAAGGCGAAGGGCGGGCGCAACTGCGGACAGCGGCAAGCCGCCAGGCGGCGACGGCCTCGGGATCAATGGAGCCGGGTGGCGGCGGCTAGACGGCGGCGAGCCGGGCGGCGGCCGGGTGGCGAAGGCGAGCTCGGCGAGGCCGGGTGGCCGCTGGTCGGCGACGGATCGGGCGGCGGATAGGCGGGGACGGCGAGCTCCTGAGCGGATAGGCGTGGCGGCGGAGGCGGGCGAGGACGGCAAGCTCGGCCCGGCTGACCGGGCAGCACGATTGGGCGGCGACGGGGAGCTCGGCGAGGCCGGGCGGCGAAGGGAGCTCTGCGAGGCCGGGCGGCGAAGGGGAGCTCGACGAGGCCGGGGCGGC